CCCCACCTCTACCCCAGCGCAATGGATTGACAAAGTGGCAGCATCAGTGGGCGAAGTGTAACAATAATTGTAAGGTTGGCCCAGGACTGAGCAGTGTTTTGTTCTGTTGTACACAGTGTTGCTATGAGTCGGTAATGACTCGATGGCACCTAACAACAACAACAAAGATGAATTGATTACTGCCATTTTTCTGTGCGGAGACCTGGTATGGTGCTGTGGATTAATGTGCTGAACTGCAAAATCTGTTTGAACCACAAGGTCGGAGGTTCAAGCTCACCAGTCACTCCTTGGAAACCCTATACAGTGTCACTGTGGGTTGGAAATGACTCATTGGCACTTAACAATAACAACAATTTTTCTGCGCATTTTTTGTGGTACTGCATCCACATAATTTTCTGTGCTGAGTTCATTTTCTTGTGTGTTTTCTTTTCATTGTCTTCATTTCTGTTGTGTCCATGTTTACTATATCTTTCTGGTTTTTTTATATTATTTTGATATGCAAGTATATTGTTTTTCTTTGAGGCTACTCAGTAATTTGATAATTTTGTATGTGCTTAAAACAGGGTGTTTTATCTTGAAATCTAATTGACTGCTTTGCCATTTGGAAGTTCTGTATCTGTGTTATTTCCTCTTTTTGCTTTGTAGTTGACTTCATTATACATCATTATACATCGATATCTCTAATTCACTATTTTTCAGGTTTGTTATACTTTAAATACTTCTATATCTTAATTGAGTTCTGAGTGTTGTCATGTATGGTGATCTCAGATTGTTATCTGCTGTTGTTGGTTCTCAGTGCAAAGAACATCCTTTAGTATTTTTGGTAAAGTTGGTCTGGTCGTTATAAATTCTTTTAATTTTTGTTGTTCAGGGAATGTCCTCATTTTGCCATTGTATTTGAGGGGACAACTTTGCTGGGTATCTGATTCTTTTTTTTTTTTTTTTAATGTTTTATTGTGAATTATCTGATAGTTTACATGGGAGAACATTAACTTTACATTCATCCTATCTTAATTTCATTGCCATGATTACAATCCCATCCATGAATCATCAACCAACCAAAGGGTGTACCCTGCAAGCCTGTCCCCTGGTTGTCAACACACAGCCCTTTTCCCTCTCTGGGTCTAGAGTCCTCAACCGCTCCATCTCTCCATGTCATCGTCTCAGCCTCCATCTCTGGTGTCACTGTTTCTCTGGGTAGGGTCCTGCATCCCGTTCCTACTCCTTGATTGTCCCGGGGACCTCTGTTCCTGGACTGCAAAGTCAACCACTCCCTTCCTTTTGCTACAAAATGTCTACCTTTACATTTCCAACCCTTACAGCCCTGAAAGCAATTATTCACTATTGTACCACATGAGTACTATCCCCATCTCATTTCATCAGCCCTGCCCAGACAGATTGGATACTACTCTGAGGAGATTCTACCTTCCTCTGTGCCCTCTGGATCTAGACTTCCCTCTGCAAGCATGTAAGCCAGTCACTTCTTGCCTTTGTAGGACCCCCATTTTTGATAGCCAATGTCCAAGTTGCCCATCCTTGTCTACCCTGTGTACTGAGGGGGTGTTAATGATCCTTGCTGTAAAGATTTGTTCCCTCTTTTGAGCTGCTGCATCCATAGGTGTAGGTCAAGTTCATCAAGTTGTCTCAGATTATTCTTTTTTTCCTCTTCTTCTAGTTGAGTTCTGATCATGTAGCCATTGAAGCTAGGTCAAGTGGGTATTATCTGCAAGTTTGGATGTTCTTGTGCATCTGCCCTCACTTCATATCAGCTGGATGCTTCACTCTCCACTCTAGTCCTCTGTGACTGTGTCACTGATTCTGTGCCCAGGAGTCCTCAGGTCTTGCCATTCTGCTGGCCAACCAGGTCTCCACCAGGTTCACAAGGAGTCTATTGAACGTGTTCGGGATTAGCTCACAGCTTCATTGCAGTTTTTCCCTCACTTTCCCTTATCAGTGACCAACGTGGTCACCAGTCAGACTGCATGCCTGCTCGTGTATTCACCTTGAGTCTAAGTCTTGGAAGGGGGTTTGCCCTGGGGGGACCCAACCACTTGCCTTGGTGTCTCCTTGGCGAGCTTGTTCTTGCAGTAGTCAGTCAGACTGCTGTTATTGTTTTGTATTTTTCCTGTTAGTCTTTCTTTCACAAAGTATCTTCTGTTCTTCTAGCAGCTCCAGTCTGGTCTGCTTTTCCTTTCAAGTGGAGGTTTTCCACCTCAGAAGATTCTGGATGGAATTCAGGATTCCACCTATGCAATGCAGAGCCTCTGCAGGAAGCCTCATTCACTGGGCACGCTGTTAGCCCCATTTTAAGTGTTCCAATCAGTTATAGGCAGAAGACGGACTTACAAGCTTTCTATGGTGATATTTCTGGCTATCCTTTCTCTTCCTCTCAAGTGTCTATTTTACTGTGATATGCAAGGGAAACCAAGATTCAAAAGACCAGCCAAGCATCTTAACATTATTTTCCCCCTTCCTACCATTTTTTTTTTATTTTTTAGTTTTTTATTGTGAGGTTTACATGGGAGAACATCAGCTTTACCCTCATCCTATTGTATTTCGTTTCATTGCAATGATTATAATCCCCTCCATGCATTATCAAATAACCTCAAAGGGTACACCACACAGTACTGCCCCCTGCCTGCCAGCACACTCTCCCTCCCTGAGTTCAGTGTCCCCAGCCACTCCCTCTGTCCACGTCATCATCTCTGTCTCCATACCTGGCGTCACTGCCTCTCTGCATAGGGTCCCGCTCTCCATTCTTCTCACTTGATGGTCCTAGGGACCTCTACTCCTCGGCTGCAAAATCAGTCACTCTCCTCTTGTCAAAAAACATCTACCTCTATATTTCCTACCCTCACAGTCAGTTCTGATGGCAATTATTCACTATTGTACCACAAGAGTCATATCCCCATTTCCTTTTGCCAGCCGGGTCCCAACAGATTGGAAATCATTCACTGGTGCTTCTACCTTCCCTCGCCCTGTCTAGAACTAGGTTCCTTCTTGAAAGCTTGTAAGCCAGTCACTTCTTGCATTTATAGGTCCCCCAACTTGGGTAGCCAATGTTTGTGTTGCCTATCCCTGTCAACCCTGTGTACCAGTGGGGTGGGAGTGATCCTCACAGTAAAGATTTGTTCCCTTTTTTGAGCTATTACATCCATAAGTATAGGTAAAGTTCATCAAATTCTAGCAGGCTACTTCTCCCCCCCCCCCCCCCCCCCCCCCCCAACCCCTTCTTTCTTCTTCTATTCGAGTTCTGATCATCCAGCTATCGAAGCCAGGTTAGGTGGGTACTATCTGCAAGTATGGGTGTTCTTGTGCATCTCCTGTCACTTCATATCAGCTTGGACACTTCACTCTCCACTCTAGTCCTCTGTGGCCATGTCCTCTCTGGGCCTCTGGGCTCAGGAGTCCCCAGTTCTGCCGTACTACTGGCCATCCAGGTCTCCTCCTGCTACTAGCTAGCTAGTAGTTTTGAATCCACCAAAACTTAGAAATGTTCTGGTAATCTGCTCCCATAAAGGTTATTGCCTAGGAAATTCTATAGGGTAGTTCTACTTTGTCCTGGAGGGTCACTAAAAGTTGGAATTGACTTGGCAGCATACAAAGGCAACATACAACGTGTGTTCTTTTGGCTTAAGCTAATGATATCCCCTAAACTTTGTTGTTGTTAAGCTGTCAAGTCAGTTCTAATTCATAGTGAGTGTATAGGGTTTCCAAGGAGTGGCTGGTGGGTGTGAACCACTGACCTTGTCATTCAAATGACCTTGTGATCCAGTGCTGTATCTACAGCATTACACCAGGACTCCATTAGCTGTACTGTTGTTGTTAAGTGCCATGAGTTAATTTCGACCCATAGCAACCCTGTATGGGGTTTCCGAGGAGGAGCTGGTGAGCTTGAACCTCTGACCTTGCAGTTCATTCGGCTTTGTAATCTGGTGCATTAACCCACAGCATCACACCAGGACTCCGTTAACCTGTACTACAGCCTCATTAAAGAGGTGGATAACTAGGAAGTACATTATAGTTGGGTTTGAAATAAACTAGTTGGGGTTGGAGAGTTGCCTAGGCATTATTGTTGTTGTGAGGTGCCATGGAGTCGATTATGGCATAGCAACCCTATGCACAACAGAGCTAAACAATTCTGAGTTTTGTGCCATCGTCACAATTGTTGTTGCACTTGACTCCATTGCTGCTGCCATAGTGTTGTTCATTTCCTTGGGAGTCTTTCTCTGTTTTGCTGACCCTCCAGTTTGATCATCCCTCCTAATAATATGTCTGAAGTATGAGAGATGAAGTTTCACCATTCTTTCTTCCTAGGAGCATTCTGGCTGTACTTCCAACACAGACCTGTTTCTTCTTACAACCCGTGGTACTTTTAATATTCTTCTCCAGCGCCATAACTTAATTATATCCATTCTTCTGTTGCCTTCCTTATTCATTGTTGAACTTTCATATGCATATGAGGCAATTGAAAATACCATGACTTGGGTCAGGGGCATCTTAGTCCTGAAACTGTTATCTTTTCTCTTGGACACTTTAAGGAGGTCTGGTGCAGCAGATTTACCTAATGCAATATATGTGGTTTGCTTTTTTTGACTGCTTTTTCCATAAGTGTTGATTGTGATTCAAGCAAAATGAAGTCTTTGACAGTTTCTGTCTTTTCTCCATTTATCATGTTGTGTTGGTCTAGTTGTGAGGATTTTTGTTTTTGTTTTCTTCATTTTTGGTAAGCTAGGTTGTGTTATTTGCAAATTTCAGGTTGTTAATGACTCTTCCTCTGATACAGATGCCATGTAGTAAACAACAACAATTAATTGAATGTAATAATAAAAAATTCTCTCTCTAGGAAAAAAAACCCTATGGAAATTCAACTTTTGTCTGATGCTCTGATAAGAAAGCCAGCTTTGCAAAGTAATATAGCAAGAACACAAGAGGAACAAATTCAAACTGCAAAATCCTGCCAGGGCCAAGATATGTTTGATGAGGTTTCTCTTCTGCAACAAGTGCAAGGTATTACAAGTTATTTCTTAAATTTTTGAAATTTTTACCTTTTCCTATTTTAATTTTTTTCATAATTACTTTCCCACCATTAACATACATTCAGTGTCCCCCAAACAAATTTCCTTTCCTTTCTCTGGAAACCACTGATAAAGTTTGATTTCTAGATGTTTGCTTTTTTTATGTAAGTTTGGTTATGCAGTATTTGCCATTTGTGACTGACTTCTTTTACTCAGCATGTTTTCAAAATTCATCCATTTTGGATGTGTATCAGAACTTAATTTCTTTTTGTGAGTGTGTTATATTCCGTTTTCCTGGTGTGGCACTGGTGTAGTTCTGCCGGTTAATGCGCTGGGCTCCAAAGTGGGTGTGACTATAGACAAGGTCAACAGTTCAAACTCACCAGCCGCTGCTTGGAAACCCCATACAGGGTTGCTATGAGACTCAAGGCACTTAATAATAACAGCAATATATAATTGTATGTCTACTGCACATTTTGTTCACCCATTTATCTGTTGACATACATTTCAGTTGCTTCTATCTTTTGTCTTATTGTGAAAAGTGCTGAAATGAAAACTAGTGTACAGTTTTCTGTTTTGTCTTTCCATTTTCACTTCTTTTAGATATATACTGGGATTGGAATTACTGGGTCATAACAGTAGTTCCACATTCATCCTTTGGAGGATCTGCCAAACTATTTTCCACAGTCTGAATTCATGGCAACCATTCTAGGAGAAGGCCCTATCTGGTATCAGGAGAAAATACTTACCTTAGATTCTCTAGAGTTGCTTATAATTTTCCTGACTTCCCTGGTGCTCTCCATTTGGCAGCTTGCTTTCCCCTTTTTATGTCCCAATCATTTATTTTGTCTACTTTTGTTTGTGTAGTTTTCAAAATGTTTGGTAGTCTGTGTATTCCCTGAATTGGAGCACTCACATTTATTGCTATTTTTTCATTGATGACCTTCATAAATTTGGAATTCACATTTAAGTCTTTAATCCATGTTGAGTTGGTTTATGTATAGGGAGTGAGGTAAAGGTTTTGTTTCAATCTTTTGCATATCGCTTTCCAGTTCTGCCAGCACCATCTGTTAAAGACACTATTTCCTCCCCATGTAACATACCTAGGCACTTTGTCGAAAATCAGTTGGCTGTATGTGGATGGATTACTTTCTGGATTCTCAATTCTGCTCCATTGATCAATGTATGTTTCATTGTACCAGTACCAGGCTGTTTTGACCACTGTAGCCATGTAGTAAAATTTTAAATCGGGGAGTGAGAGGCCTCCAACTCTGTTGTTTTTCTTAAGCAGTGCTTTGCTTATCCTGGGTCTCTTTCCTTTCCATATAAAGTTTGTAATTGTCTTTTCCATGTTTTTTAAGATGGAATCTGGATTGGGATTGCATTATATGTGTAAATTGCTTTGGGTAATATTGGCATTTTCACAATGTTAAGTCTTGCTATCCAGGAGCAAGGGTATATTCTTTCGACTTTTGTAAGTCCCATTTGGTTTCTTATAGTAGTGTTTTGTAGTTTTCTTTGTATAAGTCCTATGTTTCTCTGGTTACATTTATTCCTAGATATTTCGTCCTTTGGGTGGCTATTGTAAATGGTATTGAATTTTGTATGTTGATCTTATACTCTGCTACATTGCTGAATCTTCCAGTGAGGTATAGCAGCTTTTTTTTTTTTTTTCTGAGTCTTTGGGGTTTTCTATGTATAGGATCTTATTGTCTGCAAATAGTTTTACTTTCTCTTTGCTAATTTGAATGCCTTTAATTTATCTCTCTTGCTGTATAGCTCTGGCTAAGACTTCCAGAACAATATTGAATAGGAGTGGTGACAAAGGGCATCCTTGTATGGTTTCTGTTCACAGAGGGAAGGCTTTCAGTTTCTCTCCATTGAGAGTAATGTAGGCTGTTGGTTTTGAGTATATGCTCTGAATTATGTTGAGGAATTTCCCTTCAAGTCCTATTTTGTTGAGTGTTTTTATCAGGAATGGATGTTGGATTTGTCAAATGCCTTTTCTGTATCGATTGATATGATCATGTGGTTCCTTTTGGTTTTCTTATTTATATGGTGATTTACATTGATTGTTTCTCTAAGGTTGAAGCATCCTTGCATCCCTGTTATAAAACCTACTTGGTCATGATGTATTATTTTTTGATGTGGTGCTGGACTCTGTTGGCTAAGATTTTCTTGACAATTTTTGCATGTATGTTCATGAGGGATATTGGTCTATAATTTTCTTTCTTCGTGATGTCCTTCCCTGGTTTTGGTATGAGGGTTATGCTTGCTTCATAAAATGTATTAGGAAGTTTTCCAACCTCTTGTGTTTTCTGGAATAATTTGAGCAGAATTGGTGACAACTCTTCCATGAATGTTTGCAGAACTCACTAGTGAAACTATCTAGGCCTGGGTTTCTTTTGTTTGGGAGTTTTTTGATGACCTGATCAATTTCTTCTTTTGTTATGGGTCTGTTCAGGTTTTCTACTTCACTCTGTATAAATTTAGGTAGGTCGTGTTTTTCTCAAAATGTATCCATCTCTTCTACGTTTTCAAATTTGTTGGAGTACAGTTCTTTGTAGCATTCTATTATTATCCTTTTGATTTCCTTTGGCTCTGTTGTGACATCTCTCATGTGGTTTCTAATTCGTGTTATTTGTGTCTTAATCCCTTTTTTCTTTTTTTAGGTTTGCCAGTGGTTTGTCAATTTTATTAATCTTTTCAAAGAACCAGCTCTAGTCCTGTTGATTCTATAGTGTTTCTGTTTTCCATCTCATTTATTTCTGCTCTGATCTTTATTATTTCTTTTCTTTTGGTGATTGTGGGTTCCCTCTGTTGGTCTGTTTCTAATTGTTGGAGATGCTGTGTTAATGTGTGAATTTTGATTCTTTCTTCTTTTTGGATGGGTACATTTATTGCAATGAATTGTCCTCTCAGCACTGCTTTCGCTATGTCCCAAAGATTTTGGTATGTTGTGTTTTCATTCTCCTTTGTTGCTAGGAACTTTGTGAATTCACATTTGATTTCTTCTACTACCCAGTCGCTTTTCAGCAGGGTGTTTATTCAGTTCTGTTTCCATGTATTTAACTTTATTTTCTTTGTCTTCTTATTGTTGATTTCTAGTTTTATAGCATTGTGTTCTGATAAAGATGCTTTGTAGTATTCTGATGTTTTTAAATTATGAAGGCTTACTTTGTGACCTAACACATGGTCAATTTTGGAGAATTTTCCATGTACACAGAAAAGAATGTAAATTGTAGTGTTGGGTTGAATGCTCTGTACATGCCTATGAGGTCAAGTTGGTTGATTGTGCTGTTTAGTTCCTTTCTAGTTTTATTGAGTTTCTTTCCTGTTGTCCTATCCCCTTTTGAAAGTGGCATATTAAAATCTCACACTATAATTGTAGATTTATCTATTTCTTTCTTAATTTCTAGTAGGGTTTGCTTCATATAATCCTAGTGCTCTTTCATAGGGAGAGTAGAAATTTATAATGGTTGTGTCATTTTGCTTAATTGACCCTTTGATAATGAGTTAGTGTCCTTCTTTTGTCTCTTATGCTGGTTTTTGTCTTGAAGTTCACTTTATCACAGATTAGTATTGCCATTCCTGCTTGTTTATTATCGCAGTTAGCTTGGTATATATATATTTCTTTCTTATTTAAGGTTTTTATTGTTGATTGAGTGAAAGTTTACTGGGCATATCATCAGTTTTACATTCATCAAATCATACACCTTGTTTCATTACAATGATTATAATTCCCTCCATGTACCATCAATTAATAGTATTTCTCTCTATACACTTTAGCTTTTTTAAAAACAAACAAACAAAAAATACCACTCAGACTCTATGGCACTTAACAACAACTCTTGGGAGAAAGTAAGAAAGCAAGGAAGATTGGATTGAACAGAGGGAAAAGATGAGCCACAAGGAGGCTTGATCCCAAACTGAGAAAGTCGGTAGAAAAATTGAGTTGATTTGATTGTGGTAAAGACAAAGTAATTTTAAGGGCTAATTTCCCCCAGCCCCAGCTATATCTTCCATAGAGATTTACTTCATGAAAACATCTGTATAATCTAATTTAGTATATCTATAGCATTTACCCCACCAAAGAGTGAGATCCCAAGGGCCTATAAAAAATGCTTGTGTCATGAATTGAATTGTGTCACTCCAAAATATGTGACAACTTGAGGAGGCATGATTATCAGTGGATTGGCAGTCACACAATGATTTAATGTGGCAGTTATGTAATGATGTAATCACATATACCCATGATGTGATCTGACATAAATATCCTGTGTTGTATATCCTCACTTCTATTGTGTTAATTAAGCAGGATGCAATCTAAAGGGTTATGTTGTATCATAAGTTAATCTTTCTTAAGACACATTAAACAGAGTTCAAAAGATCCAGGAGTGGAGTGCATCCTCTGCATTATGATGCTCCTAGATCCAGAGGAAGATTGATGCCAAGACATATGGGTCTAGAGATGCTTGAAAGAAGGTAAGGACTCTTCCCCAGGGGCAAAAACAACAACAAAAAAGGCTTCCTCTAGAGCTGGCACTCTTAATAGGCTTCTAGCTTCCTTAAGTATGAGAGAATAAATTCTGGTTATTAAAAAAAAAAAAAATGCCACTCAGGTATATATAATAATTTACATCTCCCATAGGGCACATTCTGCAAGTCTGCCTCCTGGCCACCAGCTCTTAGTCCCTCTCTTCTTAGTACATGAATTTAGAGTCCTCAGCTACTTCCCCTCTCCATGCCCCCATCTCGGCCTCCATCTCTGGCGCTGCTGCTTCTCTGGATAAGTTCCTGCACTCTGCTTTTGCGTTTCTTTCTTCATGGTCCTAGGGTCCTCTGTTAGGACTGTAAGATTAACCACTCCCCTTTTTTTGTTACAAAACTTCTACCTGTACAATCGTAACAGATGTAATTAGTCATGATAACAGTTATTCACTATTGAATCTTATCCCCATCTTTTTTCACCAGACCTATTTAGACAAGATG